TAGGTAATACAGATGAAACGCTACAGACAGATTAACTCGTTGAAAATCTATAAATCGAATACCGGAGGTCTTTGATGACAAGTTCCAACAACTGCAGACAATTTATCTTCATCCGGGACATAGACGGGACTCATTAGGCAGTGATATATAATACAAATATGCAGAAAACTAAGGGTCAATTCAATCGAAATCAATGAGAACAGGGGCGCAAACATAAGTTTAAAAAAGGGACATTCGGACCCCCTAGGCAGCGTCACTGAATGAGCAAAATACATCCAACATATTTCGGAAACAAATTATCCCATAACGAAACAATACCGATATTCAAATCCATATTTCAAGTCAACGGGGATTAAATTATCGCGGACCTATCCTCCGAAACATTGACAATATGCCCAAAGAAAACCAATTATGACGAAACAATTGAATCGGGAGACCATAAATATTAACGAACCATTGTTAACGTTGATTGGTTACAATATCAGAAACAGGTAACACACTTTTGCTAATTAGTTGCACAAATAAGAATAATAGTAAAACTTTCTATAATATTTGCGTATTTAAACTTGCCCAGAAGCAATTATTAGGTTAAATAAACGTACACCTCTAAATATCCCTAGGATTTACACCAAACGAAGTTCGACGTCGATTACAATTCTAAAACCAATCGCGTTACTATTCAGAAATAATCTTACATCAAATGTATATTTCTAACAGCTCAAGGTTCTCGACGCACAAAAGAAAATTAGCTTCTCTAGAATTCTGTTCTAGAATTAACACAAGAGAACAATGCCTGAAGATTTACGCACTTTATCTCGGCATAAAATACACAAAAACACCGTCATCGGTAACAAATAAAAACGATTGTTAAAAAGAATATAATCCAGTTCCCCGAATACCCCGAAAAGGTCAAATTTACTCAGCACACACACTTAATGTAATTATAAAAGAGAAGCGCTTTTCCGTTTCAAGCATATTGTTACGTCAGAATGATCAAATACATTGTGCTATCACAATGGTGGGTTATAATTTTCGTCCGAATCCCACAAAAATAGACTCATCAAGTGTTATTGAATGAAGCCGATGACAGTGAAATGTAATAGAATGTTCAGATATTCGAAGGCTCTGAAAGACAGGGAAACCAGTTTACGAATTACGACAAATCTTCGCTTTTCAAAAAAACATAATTTAATAGTAAAGCTGCGAAGTGGCTTGAAATTTTATATAAATTCCATATTCAAACTTGATTTAACTCTATAGTTTTGTGAAAAAGACGATGGAACCGCTATCCGTTGGCGTCAACAGTTATTACTCGGCATTGAAGATACTTTCTTGCGCTGTGTTATTTATCACGTAGAATGGCATAAGAAGGAATATAATTTAATTCGGGGTAAACATCTAATGATTTAACATCGCAGCGTGAACTGTTAATACAATTAATCGATAAGCTGAGTCTAATGTCACAGCTACTGTGAAGATTATGGACTCTATTGGCGGAAAGCGTACTGTTGCTATTTGTCGGCATTGGATGAGAAGAGATTAGAAACCGCAATTCTATGCCAGCACATACTTTTATATATACCACAATTAAACGGAAAGTCTTCTTACTGTAAAATCAATACAATAACAGTTAATAACAGTTTATTTCTCTTTAGTTGCTTGGAAAAACGAATATGGCGTTCTCGAGATAACGGTTATCGGAACTAAACGCCAATATAAACACCCACACAAGAGAAACCCATTATCATTTTTGTTTGCTGTGAAACTCCATTACATATTCTATGAACTGGTGATTGGTGGTTATTGCTGTAAACTGCTATTCCGAGTTAGTCTGACTTTGGTCAGACGAAACGTTCCAGAAATACATTTGTGTTAGTGTGCAGCAAGACTCTTGAATCGTATAGCACTAGACATTATTGATGATTTCCCGAGGGCGTGTTTAATTGAAAATTTGTCCAACTACCCTGGGTTACTGCCCCAATACTAACTCTTATAATTATTTTCGTTGATACTTTTAGTTTTAGGTTATTTTAACGTAATTTATTTTAGGTTCGAGTATATGGCCTCAAATTTTACTTCCAACCCCCTAACCTTAAATAAGAATAACATAATCTCTTTCCACGAAATAGCAAGTATATTTGCGAGCTTTCGTTAAATCATAATCTAACTTCCTCCGATAAAACAAAATATGGCTTAATAAACAGCGAATAAGAACCTAACCTTAATTAAGATAAGTACATAAAATCAAAGATGAAGCAATAACTGTATAATATCGTTGCTTTTGCTTGTTTTGACACCCTCGCAACAACAAGAGCAATTTATATAAGAATCAAATGTCAAACCACTAACAATTCTCAAACCCGACCTTTCGTTCCTACTTCCAACCGCAAACAACAACAGATGTTCCCGAGAATTCTTCCCAAGAAATCTATATACTAATAATGAATGCAATGCGGCGTTTGCGGTTCGTGAGATGCATGCAATCCCCGGGGGCAAATTATAGAATTTTTTTTCACCGTCCAAATCAAACAACAAAAGAATCGAAATCGACGGTTATCGATTGTCAACATCGTACATTACGGCACATATTAAAAGATAAAAAAGAATCGGTCCTGATTTGATTATCTTTTTAAGTGCTAGCCTTCGAAGTTATTATTACTTATAATTATTCAAATACACTAAATTTCTCGAAACCAAAGAGTCTTTTCTCTGCATTTGTGCATAAAAAAGGATGGGGAAATACGAGAATAAACGAGGTAAAGCAGGTACCGTCCCTGTAATAGTATAAAATTAGTATGAGTGATCATACCCATCTGCGGAAACATTTAAATATTCTCTATTTAAAATCGGAAACGACTTTTTTTTATTTAGCGTGTCCTCAATCGCGATATGACAGTCCCATGGTGTAAGGAATAAAGTCCTTACTTATAACACACAAACAGTAATTAAATTTTATGCCCAATCAGTCTGATACAAAGTAATTGAGGGCAGTAGAAGAGCAATTGGCTAAATAACACGTATTTTGAATTTCGCTAAATATGGCGGCAAGGAACTCTCCTAAAAATTTTGTTATAGTATAGTAAAGTAAAAGAAGTATTATTCTGGAGTCAATGGTCCGTCCAATATCACAGCAGGCATTACAACATCTCGCATAAACATAATTTACACATCGTTCAATCTGATATTATTAAACCTTTGCAAAATCATGACAACTGTCTAATAACGTAAGATTGCAAAACCTATACAAATCGTCCGATTATAAAATCCCGACGACGTCCCAGTGGACGACATTCATATAAAGCAATATACTGATTAAACCAATTGCTCGACATAAACGTCACAAAGCAAATTGACCTCTAATAACATTTTGTTTGAGCGTGATTCTAAAAATAGATAAAAACCTCAGCAATTTCACGATCGATTGCTAATTTCTAGCGTTGCAAAGCTGCTCAAAATACTCGCACATTTTAATGGCATTTTGGTATAACTGTGAACTCTCACTAAATACGATGATATGGATAAATATGTACGTGTGAAACATGTTCGTTGTAGTAGTGCCGTGTACGTTAATTAGTTCGATATGGAATACAATTTATGGCCCCAATAGTCGTTTGATTGGAATCAGATATAGAAGGGTGTGTTTGAAATGAAATATGGAACGATATGTGGTCCAAATCTCCATTTGACTGGCGTGCTTCGGAAGGGCTATTGGGCAGACAGCAGGTTAGAATTAGGGCGGTTATAATATCATCCAATCGTCATTAGAATAGACTGCTTCATGGAAGGCCATTTATTGGGATGTAGAACACGATTCAATTTTTAGGGCAGCCACACAAAACGCTACACCTACAAATTGCAACATCGTGATGCAGGTTGCATTCAAATAATGTCAATATTATCAGAAAAAAACGTAATCCACGTCAAAAACAAATTGGATGCAAGAGAGACTTGAGACGTATTTTTTATACAATGCCTTTACAACGCCCTTTTCTCCGAACAAGACCCTATAAAAGCAGTGACCGATATAATATGACGAATGACGATGAAGAGCAAATATTTTGGAAAGAACCGGAAAGAAACGTATGCAAAATTGCAAATGCCTTCAAATAAACATCGGATCTATTATCACGTATCATCAGGCTAATGGAACTCGTCTCATTCTCGGAGAGTCGACAAGTAAATAAAAAGGGTACTCCTGAAGTATGCGCACCAAGATGTCGCACAACCTGAACCCTAACCTGGTACACAACCTAAGTTCAGGTTGTGCGCCATCTTGGTGCGCATACTTCAGGAGGTCCATAAAAAGTAATTAGAGCAAGAGTATTTAGAGTATTTATTTCTTGGTTATTTATCAACAAAAACTTGCTCTGCAGATATTACTTTAGTGGAGAAACTTGTAATGAAAAAATTTATTCCATTTATGAGAGAGGACCTCGCTAGCTTTACGGATGATCACAATCAAAGACCTCATTTTAAACTGCTCTGTTGCGCCCTCTAGCAGATCATGGCAGATCAAATTTTATATCCTCTGTACAATACTATACAATGATAGCAAGATAGCATAAAACGTCCAATAAAGTCATCAATATAAGGTGTGAGCAGTCTTTCCTAGCTTTATGGGAATGCAACATTCACGCCTTGCCAAAAATTGAAAATGCCATCATATACCGAGGTATTCTAGATTTCTTGTAGAATGATTTTATTATATAAAACCAAATATACCTCAGAATCAAAATTCGATAAATAATCCCTTGTCATAGACACGAATATAAGCACGCATTGAGATGAAAATTCTGAAGCAAAATGTGCCAAGCACTGTCTTCTCAATTTACTTTTCGAATGGAGATAGTTTAACTGGTAACCAACAATACAACCTTCTTATTAGGTAATTTTTACAAATATAAAAATAAAGCATTTTCAATCATACATGGCACTGAGAATCAATGGAGTCAATTAAATATAGAAATTTTAAATACAGCATAAAGACAAAAAGCACTCACATTATACCAAGATCCAGATCTCTGTAAAATAGAAAAGAGTCGAAATTAGAATGAGTGCATTTAGAGCTCGACAAAGAAAATAAAAGATATAATAATATGAAAAGGGTTTGATAAGATAGGTCCGCAGTAACTCTTAACAATCTACATCATGAGATTGGCGGGTACTAGAGTAGCAGAGTGACACAATCCTGTTTTTGAAGTCACCCAGAGATAAATGTTGAGTGAGTGCACATGACCTAATTTTGAACGTATTAGGTCGTATGATATTAATTGTTATAAACCATAAAAGTTGAACAATAATTTGATTACTGTCAGTCCCAGCAGGTTAGGATCTACATATTTACATCGGGGAGAAAAGTCTATAAGACGGCTTAATCAGATGTCGGACCTCCGCCCCTCATCCAGTTACTACAAATCCATGTCGAGTTTGCGATTAGTTAGCCAGATAATTGTTACAGATACATGGACTTGATGGTGAAAGAAACCATACTTCACCAGCAATCCTCTCACACAAAAGTAGCCCCTACATGATTCGAACCTGCGAACCCACTAGAGATGTAATCAGAGATGCAGTGACGAGTGTATTACTAACACTTAGCACACTGCGCCATACCGCCTGGCAGTATCATTATGTCTCAGGAATCATCTTATTTTGAACATGATATACATTAAAAAATATTCTGTCGTAGAGCACTTTTGAACAGGATAAGTAATGTCACGGACAAAAGGTCAGGGCTCGCTAAATGTTGACCTAAATTATTAAAATGTTGGCTCGGCGGTGTGGCGCATCGTGCTAAGCATTAGGAATACGCTCGCCACCGCACCTCTGATTACCATGGGTTCGCAGGTTCGAATCCTATACGGGGATAGTAATATGCGATAGGATTGCTGGACTCGTCGTCGCTGTGGGTTCTCCACGTAACCGCAGATCGATTACGGCTCCCTCCACCATCAAGTCCATGCTTCCGAAAATAAGTAACTGCCTAACTAATCCCAAACACAGCATGGAATGGTAACCAGACTGAGAGGCCGTGGTTCGTCATATAATTAAAACTAAATATGTATATCCTATCCGGAATGAACTCGCCTTCTTTTTCCTCAGACTTCCTTGTTTAGTGAGTGATGAATTTGAATTTCTGCTCATCATGTTTTCATTCCTTAGTTGCAATGAATTGTTATGAGGATGATATGATATGCCCATAGAAGGTCCAATCAACTGAAAATTGAATTAATATAAATTATATAGACTTTCTGAAAGTTCATAAGTGGGCGCTCCAGGAATATATATATACCAATATAAAGGTGCATACGTCACATCAAATTGTGTAAAGAGACTGAAATCTATGGGCAGGGGGTATATTCATTTGCTAATACAGAAAGTCCCCGAACTCGTAATAGAACTAAAATAGGGAAAATATTAATGAAATTATGGCCTAATCCTAACCTGGTACACACACTATGGAAGTACCCATAAGTGTTGTTAAAGGGTGTGGAATAATGAAAAATTTATAAAGTTTGAAAGCTTGCTGCTTGAAGACCTTCAGAAGTCCCTTGGGCTTCTGGTCACACAAATAATATCATTAGTATATTTATCCGATGCATCAATTTCTTTGCCCTCGTTTTCTTTTTGTGGTGAGAAATAATCGATTGGCTGAATGACTTGTGAATCTTGCAACGGTTGAATTGCCATTGCACATCTACAGATCAAGCGTTGCTAAATGTATTTATATTAAAGATGATTGCTGTACTTCTCGTCATCGCAAATTGGTTTATCATTTGCTAAGCCTTCCTAAAGACTTTTTTCTACCCAAATTAAGAATGCGAAAGCTTATTTTAATAATTGAGATTACTCTTCTATTACAAAAAAACAATGTAAAAGACTGTCGGGATACAGGGATTTTCCAAATGAATTGAATACTCAGATTTAATCAAAATTGATTATATTAGATATTCTATATTCGTGGATTAAAGATTAATAATTTAGATCAGTTTCATTTGGAAATTATCAATTTGACTAATTGAAGTCTCATGGTATCACCAGAATGCCTTCATTTTATTTCTGAAAACGTAAAAAACTTTCTTGCATTCCCAAACTCCAGACTCAATGAATTTACATTGACCCCTTCGTTCTTTGTTAAACCTGACACAATTTAGCATATATTCAATATTCTATATTTGGAAATAATATTTTAGAAAGTGGAATAATAGATCATTTGGCTTTGGCCATCCCTTTATGTATACTTATAATTAAGTCCTAAAAAAAGTCAAGTCAAACATTAATATAAAAGATTCAAGATTCACTGTTGAAAAACAATTAGGTCTCACAATGACACTTTGTGAGAAGGCCATGCAAAGTATATAAAAAGCAATACAATATGGAACTTTTATCTTGATACAAATGTCGATGCTCCAGGAATACCCACAACAATACCCAGTGCCTATGGAAAGGCTTCCACTAGACAATTACAAGCAAATATGTACATATGCGGTGTACTCAAAAGGAATTTTTTCATTAAAGAAATGTAATACCAAGTTGTTTTTTATATTGATTGTTGTATTTTTATTCTTCTTTTTATGAGACTCAATTCTCGATGATTAAGGAGTCACATGACATTTATTATAAAAAATAGGCTAAAGGTTGTGGAAATAATGTCAAGGTGCTATTGATTGATACGTATTGTATGAATTATGTACTCTTGAGCAGAAGAAAAGAACAATTTTTGTCTACTCTATGTACATTATGAAATGGAAAAGCATTTCAGGCAAATTTGAAGAATATTAAGAAAAATATTTGTTTAGATTTAATCTTGCTCGACTTATTTTTAATATTTACATTTCAAAACTTTTAATTTATTTCATTATTTACCACATATTTTCAACATGTTTTTTGAATAAAACATACTTTCACTTTACTATCTGTTATTTGTAGCTTATTGTCAGCTAGTCATTTTGAATTGGGGTGCGACAATTGACAAATTCTAAAAGAGAGCACAATAATTGAAGGACTACTGATTTTCAGATGAACATTTAAGATATATTTTAATTGACCATGTTTGAATCACAGATGCCAGTTTATATTATTATGTTTTATTGTATTTATTTATTGTATAATCCAAAACAAACCAAATTAAGAAATATATTTGAAATGTTAAATTCTTGATTTTGCAAAGTTGAATTTCATTTATTCTTGATGCTTATATCCTTCTAAACTGGATCTTTTTCGAAAAATAGTGATTTATTCAGTTTTTAATTATCTGTTACATTATAAAGACCCTAAAATCAAATTCATAAATATTTTTTCGAATATACATAGAATAGCGAATTATTCGCTCCCTGTGCCATTTTCACTATCAATTTTATATACAATTATACCATTTTAATAGGTATGTATAGCAAAGAATTCTTCTCAACAAAATATCATGTGCTCTACAATACATGCCGTTGAGATCATCAATTATGCAAATGGCACAAGCTAACATTTAATGGAGACATATGCACATATAAACTTACATGAATTTCAAACCAGAATTAAATTTTGTTAAGCTTGTCTCATCACATAAGATATGGTAATGGTAGTTTATTTGGTTTCCTTTAGTTTACTATATAGCAGGAGTGCGCAACCCCTGGCACGCGTGTCAAACTTGGCACGCAAGCATATCTACCCGACACGCGAGCAAAGTCATCGAAAGGAGATCCTTCAGCAGATAAAAAAATTTAAACCTTTTATAAATTGACTGAACGAACTTGGCGTTTGTTTCTTCTGGATGAATTTGAAATGCTGGATGATTGAATTTCAGAGTAGATCAATTGGAAAAAAAATTATTGACCTTGGTGTTCAGTTAGGAAATATTAAAAAAAATGAGATTAGAGAAGTAGCCTACAGAAAACAAACCATTGCCGGTATACATTGCCATTTCTGAAAATTTTTGAGACTTAAAAACTTTGCAACTGCATTACCCTCCATGTTTGTACATTCTCGCAAATTTCAGTCGGCACACAGGAGAATTTTGTCATTGAATTTAGCTGATTTTGGCATGCAAACTGAAAAAGGTTGCCCACCCCTGCTATATGATATATCCGTTTGCCTATTTTGTATCTCTTTATCCCTAACCTTTAAAAACAAAATCTATTTCTTTTATTTGTTTAATTTTTATAAAGAAACCCTAGCTAGTGTGCTGAACAGTTTGAATAGTTTATAATGTGTTTGTAAATATGTACAAAAAATAACACTATTTAACTCTACAATAAAACATCACCCAATGCAAAGTAATACTATTTTTTTCTCCAAAAACAATGAAAATCCTTCCCACTTGGGAAAATCTGCTGCAATTCATTATGAGAGGTATTCAAATCCAATAGCACAGTAATCAATCATTGTGATATCATAAACTACAAACATTTAAATTTCACATTACCTGTCTATCATCAAAGTTGCTGTGAGTAGGAGTTAGTCTTGGTGATATGTCAGATAATTCTCCCTCGGTGGTTGCTATCGAGTTCAAAGCTGCTGGTGAAGTGGAAGTCGGTTTTAATCGAGGTTTTGAACCTTCACTGTGGAAACCTGAATGAACATGTGTTTAAAATTTAATAAAACATAATTTAAATATCTGTTTTGAATAGCTCGTCATACAATTCAAGATCTCGAAGGCAATTATATTATTCGGGGCAATAATATTATGAATAAAACGCTTTTGCGGGTATCAGAACATTGTGTATTGAACCTTTACTGTTGTTTATTCCCTACTGAAAATACCCGTTTCGGGTAGCTTGTCATATTATTCGATGGTGGCGCAATTATACGAGGAGTCAAAAAAATTTCGCCAGATCCTATAGCAATAATTGTAAGTTTAAATAAATTTGATTCAATTGATTGTATGATAAATGAGAACTACAAGAACAATAAACACTATCAAAAAGCAAAAACAAAAAAATTTAAATAGTTATTGGTATTGCTATAAAATTGGGCGCAAGTTTTTGGACACCCTGTATTAGAAATAAATTAAATGTTTTTACGGGTACCTGCTTAACTGAAGTTTATTTCCTACTTCTAGCGCAGATGTGGACAAGGAAATACATTATATAATCCTTATTTTAAATGTTATGATTGTGCAAACTTTGTTTCAAACACTCTCCTATATCTGTTTCCCACTCATCCCTTTTATGTTTAATTTTGAAGTATGCTCTGATATGACACCCCACATATTAAACAGAGAATGCCAGTCTTTAAACTATCTTTCGATAGCAATTCTATTTCAGGAATGTCAATATTAAAATAGCTTAATATTTCAGTATTCTGCATTGCAAAATTAATTTAAATTTGAAAGAGTAGGAATTTTGCAAAAAAAAAGTTGATCGTTTTCAGAATATGTTAATTTCCTTTTTGACTTGTAAATTTCCGCCATGTAAGATCTTAAGCAATTTGAATATAATAATATGCATGAATGTGCAGTCCATCTTGCAATGGTTGTTTCACAATATCTTTATTATATATGCATTTGTGGATTGTGGCGAATAACTGATAACAGAATTTATAAATACACATGCATTTAGCATACTCCTTTATTTCATTTTGCAGCTATTAATACAGCAAAAGAAAGATATGCAATAGCACAAATCCGGAAGCAACAAATTTTTTTATGGAATTTAACCTTTCAGTGACTTATGAAATTGTAAAATCAAATATTATATTCAGAAGTTAGGTCGCTTTAGGACTAGATATGTAACCTTACTTTATTAAACATGGTCTAATGTAGTTTACATAGAGATATGAAAATTGAATATCCCATAATGTGCTAAGTGTCTAACCGTCGCAAGTTGGATAATATCATAAATATCAGCCGGATGGTTTCGTCTTCTGCCACACCCGAGCCCATTCGTACAGAGCACTTAACTAGTTGACTATTTCCATGATCGACTGAGACAGTTAATTGAATGAGAGACTGCAATTCAATATCAACTTTCCACTCACCAAGAACATAAATATCAAAAACCTTTCATATTGGCTCGGCGGTGGGGCGCATTTGGAATAAGCTTGCCACTGCAGCTCTGATTACGGTGCATGTGTTCGTAGGTTCGAATATGTGCGATAGAATTGCTGGACTCCTCGCCGTCGTAGTGTGCCCAACATGGACAGGTAACCAGACAAGAGGTTGTGGTTCACCATAATGGTTGTGTCGTTTATAGACTATCCTCTCCCCCCTGGATAAATATGTGAACTTATCCTATCCTACTTTTACAATCAGATCCCCCCAGTTCACTCTTACACTTACCAGGTGAATCAAAATCAATGGATGAACATGAACTTCTATGATTCGATGAAGAATTTCTGGATTCAGCTCTCGATACAGGTTGTGAGTAAGAATTTGGTGAAGTCTGAAATATAAAATAAATCAAATATTCAATCAAAATTCGATTTCCCAAAGGTCAAGTCAAAGTCAAATTTTTCAACTGTAAATCAGTAGCACATATAGTCAAAATTTTCAATCCCACTTACAGAGCGACTCTGCTTAGATTTATTAAATATGAATTTATAAACATAGCAATTCAGTCAACTAAAAAACAAAAAAATTGGAAACTGGGTGAAATAAAATCAATATTATAATTTATAAATATCTTAATAAGGGCAAAATAAACATCAGATAATGAAGATTGATTAATAAAAACACAGTGATTTTTGATATTTACATTTCCTAAAAAATTATTGATTTTTTAACCCATTACATCCTTGTGTTTAGATTATACAATCCCAGCGATGAGTAAAACAAACATAATAAAGGTGGCTTTAAATAAACACCAAAAATCAATTCGCTATTTATTTATATAAAAAATATAATTATAATAAAATATGAGGCATGATTATACATCAATATTGTGATGTCATAATCTAAATTTTAGATTGTGGAAAAAGGAAAGCCTCTAAAATTATGGTTTTAAATTAACATTACATTTTGCATCTCTTCTAATATAATATACTGTTACAGGTGGTATATTTAGTAACTAAACTCAGAATAGAATGTAATCTCATAGATTACATAGAGTTATAAGAGCTTTTTGCATTTCATGTGAGGCTATATACAGTTCCAAGAGACTCCAGAAATGAGAAACGTTCGAAAACAAAATATTGTAAGTCTGAAGCTCTATAAACAAAAAGATAAATCATTCCCAAAACTAGTGCCATAGGTTTCATTAAAAGATAAAAACAACTAAAAATCGCTTTTATTTATGATAATACCTTCACAAGCATGGGCATTACAAATATTTTAACAAGAAGTCTCTGATACAGTACAAGAGTTGCAAACAAATTCAATAGTTTGTTCCTAGTTTCAAAAAGAGCCTGAATTGTCTGAGATATATCATGCAGGGCAAAAAAAAATTGACTACCTTTAAATGCTGAGGTCTTGGATAACGTGATGATGCTGTCCGTAAATCTAGTCCGTGAACTGGTGAATCTCTTCCACTGTGACCATTCATATATTCTCCGTTTAACAATCTGAAAATAAGAAGAAAAGTGAGTAGGAAGTCACCTATTTGGGTCCTGGTTGGCTCATCATGCATATCGCATCGCCAGCTACCCTCTGTATTTGCAGATTCAAATCCAGTAAGAATTCTCAAACCTAAACTTTGATACTCCCGAAGTATGTAAACCAAGATGACGGACACCCGGACGTAGTATGTGTACCAGGTTAGGGTTGGGTCATAATTTTATTCCAATTTTCTAAATTTTAGTTCTAGTACGGTGACTAGCCAAGTGAATCCGTTAGTATTTGTACCTAAAATTATGGCCTAACCCAACCTGATACACATACTACGTTCCGGTGTCCAACATCTTGGTTCACATACTTCGAGAGTACCTTATTGTCAGCAACTGTGACTACTCACTGTTTATCGGGTTTTGTCTTCCCTGAGATAGTTAAAAATCCAATCTCACATAGTGGCGAGATAAGGACTATTAATATAGATAAGATATGTTGCATTTAGAGGACATTTCCAACAACATACAGGGTGTCCCAAAATAAATGAAACTCACAAAATTGCTAATCGAATTATTGGGTTCAATTTATTTTCAGATGCCTTGTATATCTACAGTAAGTCTGTACCCTAATTTAAGTTACAACAAAAAATTGAAAAATAAGCTTTGCAATGACTTCTTGTATGTAGTCTTGTTTAAAGCAACGGCAAATACAGGCTATACTTCACTAAGCTGGTTGGCACAGTTTATAACAGAGAAAAAACATTGGAGGCAGTAAGGCACCCATTTGCCCACAGACAGTAGAAAATTTTGGAACCTAGTTAAACTATATATATGTATATATATTTAAGCATTTGAATAGGGCAGACAGCCAATAAAAAAAAGGAACACATACAACTAATGAGTTTGATTTTGAATGATTTTGAGGTATCGAGACAACCATAGCAAAAACACAACACCTTCAAATTGGAACAATGATAAATACCTAATGGATTCTATAAACAAAAAATACTATTTTTCACATAAATAATTCAGTGATGCCTGTAATTTGACCCAGTGCAGCCAGTTCGTGTAGCAAAACACAATCTCGATCGATGAATTTAACAAAATAATCAGGTCAGGCTGACTTGTATTCCTCGTCTTATATCGATTGCACTTGAGATGGCGATATAGCATTTAATCATACAAGCAATTGGGGCCAAAGAATGCCCATAATGAGTTAACACAACTACTCAATGCATAAAGGTAAGGCTATGTATAAGAAGCCACCATTATTTTTATGGAAGAACTTAAATCCTTCTGATTCAGTATTAACAACACAATATATTATACACACTGGGTGAAGTGGAGGGCATGTGATGTGAAAAACAAATTGTTTAACTATAACACCAACATGGCTTTATTAACCACTAAGCAAGCCATCGACGCCCATGACTCTTGTATAAAATTGGCCCAAAATTTTTTCCACCTGCTGATAATTGATCACTCAATAGCACATTCATTTAGATCAACGGTGCACAACCTGCGGCCGTCCACATACAAAATCCTATGAAAAAAAAGTTCAAAATATAGAATTTGGCAGCTATGCTGGCGTATATTGAAGCAAAACAGAAGCACTGCAAAAAAGTCAGACGACACGATGCGTCACAATCTAGATGGTGTATTTGCTGCCAGTTACCTGACTTTGCAAGTTTATCTGCCAACATGCAAGACCAAAGGAGTCATTAAATTGCTACAATTCTTTGCAAACTTTTATAGAATAAATTCATAAAAATATTTGACATTTTATTATACTTTTAGAGACAAGAAAATGGGGGCGACCGCCCCTCCCCGACTTTCAATTTTTTTCAAAATTGTGCAACCATTATGCAACTTGCAGAATATATCTGCTCAAGAATAGGTCCACCGAAAAAAAAAATCCTTTTAAAATGCAAATATTATACTTCCAAGTAGTCCTACATACTTCATAATTGGGCAGAATGCACCTCGCACGGGTCAAATACGCGGTTATGACGTCATAAAGCCAAAAAATTTGCGCGCCTTCAACCTCCTGGCGGCCGTATTGTATCAAAATAAATGCAATGTGGCCGCCAATACCAAAAAGGTTGTGCACCCCTGATTTAGATCAAGTGATCATTTAGATCGCGGGCACAGGGCCATGCATCATGAGAATCTATGCACCTAGACCAGTGGTTCTCAACCTTTTTTCTTTCGTGGCCCATTTTCGTCGCAAAAAAATTTGGTTGCCCACTAACTTTTGCATGTTGGGAAAAACTTCAAGAAAAACATGGGATTCTTCCTGCGAAAATAGACACCTTCACTTTAATAATTACCACCCTGCAACAACAAAAACGCATCATCCATTGCTACCACCATCAAATTTAACTAACTTTATCAACAACTCTTTCATCTTTTTATAGGTCTGTGGCACACCAGAAAAAAATTTTTTGACCCAGTAGTGGGCCATGGCCCCATGGTTAAGAACCAGTGACCTAGACCCTGTATACAATTGCCCATGAAATTCTTCCCAGGGTCTGGTTACTAACACATATAAAAACTTGATTCCATTCATGAACCTACCCGCTAGTCTCCCTTCCTTCACTTCCCTTTGAAACGTCGTCAGATTCATCAGAACCAGGCAAGTAATCTCCACCAGTTTCCTCGGACTCTTCCAGTCTGTAAGAAAGAAGAACATTCCAGGTTACAAATTCTGGGATTACGTTAAAGCAGTAGTAGTAACTTCTAGCAGTTGCGTGTAAAAAAAACAGTATTGGGAGAGGCAGAGAAAAATACAAAATATAAATTTACTATATGATAAATAAATCTAGATTTAAACTCAAAAAAAAAAAAACATAAAAACTGAAAACCTGAGTTGTGACACATTCTGCATATTCTGGATAATGACTCATTATTGAGACTATAGGTCATATACAAGGGCATACCCAGGGTGAATCAAAACATTGAAGGAATTTGAAACTGGTACTAATTCATATAATAGAAAACTTTCTTTTTCACATCACCTATTACTAAAATTATATTTTATTTATAAAACTTACAAATTTTGAATATAAATCTCTATACAAACCTAAGCATGTCCTTGTAATGCCTTACTAAACCAAATATCACAACTAACTAGCAACATTAGCCAGATAACTAATATTTAACTGCTGTTTGACAGAAAACATCACGCCACCTCACTCAACTTAGATAAAGTATCTCTTATATAAGCAATACAAGGACCACTCGACTGTTTGACAAGTACCTACAGTTAGAAATATACAAGAGATCTTTATTTAAACACTTGCTGAGGTTACATCCTATTGCAACACTCAAAATATGGATTTAAATATATGATTTGAAACGAATTCAAAAACATTATTATTTTAAAGTGTAGAAGTTGTACGCGTACGTCATCCTAATCAGGAAAAAAATTGTTTTGTACACTGATTTGTGTTGCATTAAAGATCAATTTTATTACCTACTGGTATGTCATTGGAGAGGGTTTAACACAAAATATTGCCTAATTTGTCCAATAAAAGCACAATTAGTGTTCATAAATTGTAAAATGATAAAATTAACATAATGCGCATGTTAAGGTGGTTGTTTCATAGAAATGCATATTATCACACTTCAGAATTATATGGGAAGGGTGATAATATCGAAAATCCGAAATAGGAGCATATATGGAAATTGCATACACTGCATCTAGCTTTTCTGTATTTGAAAACTTGCTGAGGTTAAATCCTATTGCAACAATATGTATTTATATAAATGATTTGAAGCGTATTCAGAAATAAACTTATCTTGAAATTTGAAAGTCATATGCAGTAACATAATTAGAGTATAAAATCATTTTGTACACGATTTGTGCAAAAACACTGAAGAAAAATTTGACCGCATAATGTGAAAAGGTTTATTACAGGATATTACAGAATTTGCACCACAAAAGCATATTTTCGTTCATCGATTTGGGAATGGAAAATTAGCATATACAATGCTTCTTCTGAGGTAGTCGATTTGTTGAATAAATATTATTACTAACCTATAATCAATACACGATTCAGAATTACATGAAAAGGGGTAGTATTGGAGAGTAACATATAAATAAAAGCATGTATGAAAAGTTCGTGTACTACATCTAATTTTCCTGTATTTGAATAGTGATTCACTTGCTTCCCTATTTATTCAGGTAATGTTTATTTCTGTGGCGATAACGTCATGAGAAATGATATGAACATCACACATACTACATTGAGTCTATTTTCGTAAATACCTATCAATAACAATATATACCTAACTATAACGTGCAAAACGCAAACATAAAAGAATGAGATACTATTTCGATTACATTCAAAAATATTATTTCCGAACATGGGATATCAGTCTTGTTTGACCATCTGGTGTCAAACTATTCTAAAATATGTGAAAGAAAATGGTCCCCCCTTTCATATCATTAAATATCAGTGGATGCGCGTTGAAGCCATGTATGGGGCGAAAGGCGAGAATATGTGTCACATAAAAAAACTGATCGCTAATTCTTGATTGTAATAAAATAATTGATTAAATTTGGACATCCCTAGACAAAAATCCATTTTAACATAAAATCAGACATAAAAACCAACCTTTTTACCAATTCTAGCCCAAAAATACACATCTGAATCCCAATGAATTTGAGGGCCAGACTTCAAACATTACAAAAAAAATCAATACAAGCATGCTGGCTTAATCCACATGCAACTCCTTACATTTAACTGATAAAGCAATACTCACATAGTCTCTGGTGGAGTTCTCATTTTTATCCATTAATAATTGGAATAACAATATAACAGTAATATTGCACAATTATTATTATTATTAAATACTAAAGCACCATTATTTACAGCGTTATAAATCTGAGTATGTTAATAAAAATAAAATAATCTATATAAAATCAAAATTAATTACAAAAAAGTACAAAAGAATTTAACTAGGACCATATAAGTTAATACTTCTTAGGAAAATATATATTGTAATGAATACATATTAACTTAATATATAAGTTAATAATAAAGGTATATCATATATTGCCATAATATGTAGTAATTAAGATATTTATAATTAGATTATAATACTAATCTGTTAATGTTAATAAACTAATCCAGTTATTTTATTCAAATTATTAATTCAAAGTAAATTAATTGGTTGTAGGGAAGATAGTAAACCATTCTCATTATTTGAAGGTGATTGAAACCAAAAAAGGAATTTAACCAACAGATCTGGCCTTTAGATAAAGCCCAAAACCACAACCATCATGTGAACATATTTTGTAACTTTTTTCTTTTAATTTTCTACCACATCTTCCCAATAAATAAAGACCAGAACACAAGAAAATATCCTATCAAAATGTTTCCTTCTCTATAACCTTTCCAATGGCTAGCACATTTAGTCATCCATCCACTCACACCGATATATACAGCGTTCTCTTTCTATAAGTCAATTACAGACTATTCCGCTATTGAATATAGCCAAGCTGCCGATCAATGCCTACGATGAAATATAATTTACAAGAGCACGGGCCTCCCGAGCCATGGTTGCCATGAATTAATGATAAGCTTGGGAATCGTCGTTATCTCATTCTTGTCGTTAAGCACTGGAATGACGCAAACAACTATCGGCGTGTGCCGTCACAATGCACACCAAAACCGTCGGAAAAAATCGTTGGCATAAAAATTTTCCTTTGCACAAATTAACGCTAATATATTGAAATCATTCTTTGCAGTTGTAAAGAGAAGAAAAAGGTGGTATGCATATATCTACATTTAACGAGTATGTGCATATTTATATACATAGTATGTATCCAATTTCATTGAAATCGTCGGTTTTTCGGCGCAGGAAAGAATAGAGGAAATACAGTTACAAAGCAAAATTGTTACCGATGCAAGTAGAAATCACAACAATCTGATTACCAATGATAATCCCCCACTATTGGATTAACTTAGCTTAATACACACAGGTAGAATTATTTCCTATTGAGCAATTGAGATTATGCAAATGCAGTATTTATTGCTCGCATTGGAAATGCGCGAACATAGTAACCCCTGCCAGTATCTGTTCACAGGCTTGTTCATATTAAAAGATGCATGAGTGGTAATAAACTAACATAGTTGAATTATGGGCGCTCCAGAAGTATGTGTACTAATATGGAGGTAACTAATTTTGTCCGCCCACTTTACATCAAGTTGTGTAAAGGGACTGAAACCTATAGCCAGGGGACCGACTATTCACTTGGCTAACACAGACAGTCCACGAACTCGTAATAAAACAAAAATGAAGAAAATCGGATTAAAATTATGGCCTAACTCTAACCTGGTACACATACAACGGGAGTACCGAATTATGTATGTCCGATGAAGTCCGATATTAGTCAGACGAAATTTAAGCGAAATAAATTTATGTTAATGTGCAGCAAGACTCTTCTTGAATCACTTAGGATAGTTATCATACAAATTCATCCATCTGCGCATTGAAAGATAAGTAGTTAGTCCAGCAGAAACTCAAAAGAACACACGATATATCACGCTTGCATTTCGAATATTTACACAGTAAAATGTTAAAGTTTGTTCACTCTAACTAAGCTATATGGTAGCCGTGGACACCATGCCCCGAAAACGACGTAATAATTATTTCAAACAAAAAAAACATAACCACATCGCTTATTCATGGCAACATATCTGCTGTAATAAGCTACCTCGCAAATTGTTAGACCCAGCTGACTTAGCCTTTTATCACAGAACAGAGTTACGTTACCAGGAAGTGCCATCAAAAACGACACATTTAAGAGCAATACATTATCGTAATGACGCGCGAAATATGGACAAAAATTGCAACATCAAACAAAGGCCAACAACAGGTAAAATATTAACTAATGATTTATTCAATAAGCCTTGAGGACTAACAAGCTGGATAATAATTAGCCAGACGTAATGAAGCAATATCGAACAGGATTACGTGATTTTTAACAGGCAAGACTCAAGTCTAATCTACATAATATGTGTCAAAAGTTAAAACACATGGTGAGAACGTATTTGACCGAGTCCATAAAAGTAGATGAACTAACTTTTTGAATATGGTGTCCGGCTTTATTTCGAATGTACGAATCCAAAATACGATAGTTATTTGAATAGCTGAAGGATTCGCTTTCCGTCCCAGGCGATGACGAATCGCGCACCGTTATTACGAAATTTATTAAAATGAGCGATCTGACGTTTCCATCCCTATTCCCAACCTATTACACTTTTGCCGTTTAGTTATCAACAGCTCGCTAATACCGTTTCGCAGCGTAGATTCGAGTCCGTGTTTTAAAAAGTCAACTCAAGTGTATTTAAGCTATGTGTTATCTTGGGTATTATCTTTTGTTTCGCCAGTTGATTGTGCGTGACCTATTCTATTTTAACGTAATTTTCAATGTAATAGTTCACGCAATCTGACGCACGGATCACTGGATTCTAATTTGAAACCGCTAAACGTATCTTCAATGTCGTCATTATCAACAAAAGTCACCGTTGCCGGAAAGTCATCTCGAACTTTAGCAGCTCCTAACCCGGCCGTTGGTGCAGAGCCTTCTTAATAGCGGAAGGCGCATAAATTCATCCTATAAAAAGTCTTCTTACCTTCAGGTTCAAGACCGATGACATTGT